CCTGGGTGATAGGAAGATGAGATGGTAGAGGACTATAATGAGTAATGTTGTAAACAAGAAGATCATCAAAGGGTGCTTCAAGAGAAGTAGATGAAATAGAGGACTCAACATATGGAGTGGTTTCAAAAAAGGAAACATCAGCTAAGATAAGATACTTACCTAGGACAGGAGAAAAACAACAATAACCCTTCTGATATCGAGAATAACCCAAGAATATGCACTTGACGGACCTAGGTTCAAATTTGGATACATGAGGTCTAACATCTTGAACAAAGCACGTGCACTCAAACACTTTAAGAGGAAGAGAGAATAAAGGCTGCGATGGAAAAATGATGGAGAACGGGATTTGACCACCCAAAACAGAAGAATGTATGCAATTAATCAAGTAACATGCTGTAGAGATAACATCTACCCAAAATTCTGTAGAGTTTTTCATGTGAAAAAGGATAGTACGAGCAACTTCTAATAAATGACGATTTTTGCGTTTAGCAACTCCATTTTGCTGAGATGTATAAACACATAGTGATTGATGAATTATACCCCTAGTAGACAAAAAGCAGCAGAAAGGAGCAGAAAAATATTCTTTGGCATTATCACTTCTGAGAATTTTAATAGATGAAGTAAATTGATTTTGTATTTCAACATAAAAGGTACAAAATATGGAGAATAATTCATAGCGATTTTTCATAAAATACAACCAAGTTACACGTGAAAAATCATCCACAAAAATAACAAAGTATCGATATCCAGACTTAGACAACACAGGACAAGGACCCCAAACATCAGAGTGCATAACATCAAAAGGGGTTGTGGCTCTTTTGTTTATCCTAAAACTATAGGACACTCTATAGTGTTTTCCAAACTGACACGCCTCACACTCAAGGTGTGATGTTGACCCTACACTAGGACACAACCATTTCGAAATGGGAACGAGAGGATGACCAAGGCGACCATGTAATATGGGTAGAGATGAATCACTGGTACACGCAACAGGTTGAGAGACAGGAGTAGGGACATCATCGAGCATATACAGGCCACCTGATACACGACCCCTACCAATAATCTGTCTCGTCCCAAGATCCTAAAATATACAATTGAGTAGGAAAAAAGTAAACACCACAATTGAATGCATTAGTAATTTGACTAACAAATAAAAGATTAAAGGGAAAATGAGGAAGGCACAGGACAGGGGAGAGAGACAGATTTGTTGAGATGGATCAAGAATAGGAATTCTTTAGGCAACCAAAAAATTCAAAGATTATTTACTCAACCATCCAATATATACTAATATCAAGCATAGAAGACATTCTTCATGGATAGAAACCTATATATCAAACTGACATACCCTTTAAGCTTTCATAGCAACTAAATATACAAAAATTAGTTCAACAACTGTATGCCATAGTAATAACAAAATGTTCACCATTATACTATTATTCACATAGAAATAAATCAAAAAGAACTGAGCTATGATAAAGTGGGACCTGGCAAAATTATTGATTAAGTGTTTGACCTGGGTACATATTACTAACACGTGATTACAAAGATGACAAAAATTATAAAAGTGGAAATGTTAAAATCATTCAAAGCTTCAATTAAAGCATAGTTAATTATTAGCACAGAACATGAGTAATAAACCATTGAAAACAAATAATCATCAAAGATCAATCAAGTTGGGTGCAAGGTTATCCATATTTGTCAAGAACTTTGAAAGTTCCTGAAAAAAATAAAACTCAGGCTTAGCTCATTAAGAAATTGGAGAAGTATAATAAAAAATAAAATAAAAAGAAAGATAGTGAGCTGTGCAGAATTTTTACTTACTTCCACACTGAAACTGCGAACCCCATTATGACACACCTGAACAGAAGCAAATTAAACTTAAAACTTGCTCCAAGTAGAAGTAATACATCAGACCATACACCACCAATTAGCATTAACCAGTATTTCTTGAACAATGTAGTAAACCTTGAACCAAGCATTTCAATTAGATTCCTTCTTTCCACATGAGCTCAAGGCCAAGTTGGCAGGACTCCACCATACAGGACAAAAAAATAGGACAGAAAATCTCATGACAACATATACAATAAACAACAGTATCTTTACTTTAAGAAGTGCGAATTTGAATATAGAAAATACTCATTTACACAAACATCATTCTCTTTGTCTACATGAGATGTTAAACTCGTTTCTCCCTCAAGAAACCGATTCTTGAGAGTAAAGAAAAAAAAAAAAAAACTACACTGTTAACAGACTTGCAATTTCTTCTTGTGCAAATCACATGATGAACAATCCAGCAAGAAATCATGTGAAAAATCCAATGGTCTAGGGTTTAGATATTATCAGAAAATCCCTCTAACATATGAAAGAACTTTAAAATAAATAAAGGAGGAGAAAATCGATATAATTTACCGTTAGGATGGGGAGGAAATCTATATGGGTCTTTTATATATCTTAACCGTTATGACTTGGCTTGACTTAAGTTCTAGGCGAAGTCAAGTCCACTGACCTATAGGAATTTTAATATTACATCATAATTACAAAAAATAAAATAAAACAATTAATTTTCACATGTGCTCATCAAAAAGAAAAACAAATACAATCCTTATTTATAAATGATTAAGTATTACATTACTAACCCTGATTAAATAAAATAAATCTCAATTTACTCCTATGATACACATAATTACTAAATACAATTGTTTGGAAGGAATCAACCCCAGGGATATTGCACATTGCAAAACTTTATCTCAGAATCAAATTAATTCTAGCTAATTTAAATTTCTAACTGCTAACATTAAAATAAGTAAATTTAGTTGAATGGATGACAAAATATTATAATCAACCCTGTTCCTAGCTCAATTAAATTTCAAACTATAATATATCAAAACGTAACAATTATAACTTCACACCTTAATTTAGCAATGCCCCTAAATCAGTCAATCATAACACGAGAAAGAAAACCAAAACCTCAAATTTTCTCTTCATTCTTTTGGATTATTTTAGTTCCTGTAAATTTTCAACAATAAAAACCAAAACAGCTAAAATCACTATGATAAATGGAAAATTTTCCTAAAAAAATAAAATTACAAAGTCTTTATTAACTATAAATGCTCACTTACCAAAGCACATGCGGAAAAAGGAGCATCTCCAATTATAATATATATTTTAATTCAGCAAACAAAATTTGATCCTCACTGCAGCTAGGGGGTAGGTAATGTTGCACATATTTAATAAGAACAAGAAACACATCACAAGGGCAAAACTCTTGTAAATGAGATGGTGCAAAATAAACAGTTTGGACGTCATATGACGCAGTACATTGCACTTAAATATATCATCAATATGGAATAAAAACTAATCACATAATCCATATTTCATAAGCTCTTGAAGCTTCTCTATACAATCATAACCATGATAACATTAGTAACTTAAGAAATTGTAAGCCTAGATTAAAAATAATAAAAATAAATGGGGGTAAAAATACAACACCCGTGTGATAACCACCACATGCAACTTCATCTGAATATGGTAGCTTGTTAATCATGGATGGTGTTGTTACATTTTTTCTGCCTTGAAAGGCCTACATTCATTTCATTAATAATATTATCATTTGACGAGTAAATAAATGCTACAAGAAGAGCCTACACAAATGACCTGAACTGTGGTTGCCAAAACCTATCAAATTACAAATTCTAGAACTCACCAACTTATCTGCTGCTCTCTCACCAAAAATAAAGACATAGCCCTTTTCTGGAATTTCAGATATTGTTTAACCTTAGTCAGATAAGAGACATCATGGAGAAGATTAGGCACAAGAAAAGTTGATCAAATACCATCAATGCACGCCAAATGCAGAAGCCCAGTAGCTGCATTTTTGACCTAGCGATGAGGTCAAAAGGCCATAATGTTAAGAGAAAATGACACATTCATTTCAGTGCTGACAACATCAATCACCAGTTGAATCAACACAAATAAAATACCTGACTTTCTCAAATTCTGATCAGCAACCAAAGGGAAAGGTCTACCGTAGGAAGAAGTGTGGTAAGAAGCAGGGGAATAATTGCCATATATAGGAGGTTAGAAGAATTTATTATGAAGGGACAGGTGGCCTGATGGGATTGGAGAGAGGAGAAATTCTGTTAGGAGTAAACTTAGGTGCCAGGAGGGAATAAAGAGGGAGAGGAGAAAAGGGAGAGGGTGGGAGAAAAGTTGATTAAGAGTTGGGAAGGGAGGTTCAGTCTTATCATTTTGTTTTGTTTTCTATTTTTATAGTTAGCTTAATTTGCTGGATTCTCATTTGTGGATTGTTGAGTGAACATGGTCTAGGTGTAGTATTCGGATGTGCTGTTTTGCTGCTATTAATATAGAGATTCCTTGTTTTGATTGTGGATTTGATTGGAACTGTGGTTAGATTGTGGTGTTATTTGATAAATTGCAGGCCAGGTTCTCATCAAGTGGTATTAGAGCCCTGAGTTCTGGGTTATGGTCTTGACAAGAATGGATTCTAGAATGGATAACGTGGAGAGAGAAGTTACGAAGTTAGGCGTTGAGATGGGTACCATTCGAGAATGTTTGGTTGAGATACAGTCACGGGTGCGAAGAAAGGATGAGGAAGAAGCAGGTAGTACTGAGATGCATTCCTCAAAAAATGTTCGATCTCAGCAGGAAGAAAATCCAAATGGAGCAAGCGGGTCTGGCAACAGTAACCAAACCCGTAGTGATTAAGAGTTGGGAAGGGAGGTTCAGCCTTATCATTTTGTTTTCTCTTTTTATAGTTAGCTTAATTTGCTGGATTCTCATTTGTGGATTGTTGAGTGAACATGGTCTGGGTGTAGTATTCGGATGTACTGTTTTGCTGCTATTAATATAGAGATTCCTTGTTTTGGTTGTGGATTTGATTGGAACTGTGGTTAGATTGTGGTGTTATTTGATAAATTGCAAGTCAGGTTCTCATCAAGTGGTATTAGAGCCCTGAGTTCTGGGTTATGGGCTTGACAAGAATGGATTCTAGAGTGGATAACGTGGAGAGAGAAGTTACGAAGTTAGGCGTTGAGATGGGTACCATTCGAGAATGTTTGGTTGAAATACAGTCATGGGTGCGAAGAAAAGATGAGGAAGAAGTAGGTAGAACTGAGATGCGTTCATCGGAAAATGTTCGATCTCAGCAGGAAGAAAATCCAAATGGAGCAAGCGAGTCTGGCAACCGTAACCAAACCCGTAGTGAAATGACTGGAAGAAAGTTGGAGATGCCGATATTTTTTGGCGAAGATCCTTACGGATGGATTTTTAGAGTAGAGCGCTACTTCCACCTCAATGGAATAACTGAGGAAGGAAAATTGACGGCAACAGCTGTCTGTATGGAGGGTGAAGCCATTAACTGGTTCCAGTGGATGGAATCCAGAGCTTCGGCGAATTCATGGGCCATGTTTAAGCTGGCACTACTTCAAAGATTTAGTGGGTCGCAAGAGCTCAACCCATATGAGTCATTAATGGCCATGAAGCAGACTGGTTCAGTTATGGAGTTTCGGCGTCAATTTAAAGCTGTCACGGCACTTCTAGTAGGGAAGAAGGAAGAGATACTACAAGCAGCATTTATCAATGGGCTGAAAGTTGAAGTGAGAGCTGAAGTTCGTTTAGCTCAACCCACAACATTAATTCAAATAATAGACCTAACCGAACGAATTGAGGAGAGAAATCAAGCAATAGAGGAGGCCCAAATGGGAACAATTAAACCCACATGCGTTATAGGGCCTGGACTTTCAAATGGGTCCAACAACCATGGATCCAGACCCACGACCCGATTGGATAGCCCCAATTTGACCAGATTTGAGAGTAACCTAAACCCCAAATTTCCTAACGCATCTGAATCCCTAAAATCACACCAATCCTCCCATTTCATTCGACGATCGTCGGAAACCTCAGTACAAGGCTCGTCGACGCACTTCTCCAGTCGCGACCACAACCCCGTCATCTTTTCGCCCCTCTGAACGACCAAACTTCCAGCGAAGAGACTTCCCATTTCGACGAATGACAGACGCGAAGATCCAAAAGAAAAAAGAGAAAGGTCTTTGCTTCAGATGTGATGGTAAGTTTTCGTTTGGGCACAAATGTGGGGAGAAGCAATTTCAAATTATTTTAGTGGATGAAGAGGAAGATGATCCATACCCGATTGGTGGTTGGAAGTCTGTCGAATCTGAAATGGAGCAACGACAGGAACAAGTTGAGCTTTCTCTTAGCTCGGTGGTGGGGATTCATAGCCCCAAAACAATGAAACTCAAGGAAGAATCCAAGGTAAGGAACTGATTGTGTTGATTGATAGTGGGGCTTCCCACAATTTTATTAGTTCAAAGGTGGTTGAATGCTTGGGGATTTCCATGGTGGGAACTCAGTCTTTTGGGGTCAGAGTAGGGGATGGATATAGCGTGAGATGTGAGGGAGAATGTAGAAATGTTTGCATGGAGTTACAAGGAGTGACGATTATTCAGAATTTTTTCCCGTTTGATATGAGCAGTGCGGATGTTGTTCTAGGGATTGCATGGCTGGAAACGTTAGGGGAGACAACCACAGATTGGAGGAAGCAGACCATGAGGTTTAAACTGGGAGATCAGATTGTATGTCTGAGTGGGGACCCATCTCTGAATAAAACCATGGTTTCGCTCAAGGCTATGATCAAGGCATTGTAGAGTGAGGGACAGGGGTGTTTGATAGAGTTTGGTCAGATTCAAAAATAGTGTGATGACAGTGGGGCTTTGGATGATCGGTTGATGGAGGTGTTACGGACCTTTAGTCGAGTTTTTGAGCCACTTTCGAGGTTACCACCTGCTAGGTACAGAGACCATGCCATTCAGTTAGTGCCAGGGGCTCAACCACCAAACCTGCGACCGTATAGGTACCCTTACTATCAGAAGAACGAAATAGAACATCTCGTCAAGGAAATGCTGGCTTCGGGAATTATAAAGCCTAGTATCAGCCCATTCTCGAGCCCAGTTTTGTTGGTAAACAAGAAGGATGGGGGGTGGAGATTCTGTGTGGATTATAGGGCAGTTAACCAGTTGACCGTTTTGGACAAGTTTTCGATTCCAGCCATTGATGAATTATTTGATGAATTAGAAGGCACGACAGTGTTTTCTAAGCTTGATTTGAAATCCCGTTATCACCAAATCCTAGTGAAACTAGATGACACACACAAAACTGCCTTCTGGACACATGAAGGGCACTATGAGTTTGTGGTAATGCCTTTCGGCCTCACCAATGCACCGACTACTTTCCAATTAATGATGAATGACGTCTTCAAGCCTTATTTACGAAAATTTCTGCTGGTTTTCTTTGATGATATACTAATATATAGTAAGGAGATCAGCGACCATGTGAAGCACCTCAGCATTACTCTACAGGTCCTTTTAGACAATCAATTGGTGTTAAATAAAAAAAAATGTAAATTTGGGCAGTCACAGTTGGAATATTTAGGGCATGTGGTCTCAGCTTACGGTGTGTCGGTTGATCCTTCAAAGATTGAGAGCATTATCAAATGGCTGCAACCGAGAGACATCAGGGCACTCAGAGGGTTTTTGGGATTGACGAGGTACTATTGTCGATTTGTTCGAGATTATGGAAAAATTGCCTTGCCACTCATTGCCCTATTAAAGAAAGATTCATTTGTGTGGAATACAACAGCTCAAGAGGCTTTTGAGGAGTAAAAACGACTCATGACTAGTGTTCTTGTTCTCCGGATGCCTAACTTTACACAGGAATTTGTCCTTGAGACCGATGCTTCCGAAAGTGGATTAGGAGCTGCGCTGATGCAAGAGGGACGTCCGATCCAAGTTGAAGTCAGTTTATGAAAAGGAATTAATGGCGATAGTGCTGGCTGTGCAAAAGTGGCGTCATTATTTGTTGGGCAGATGTTTTGTTATTCGGATGGACCAGCGTAGTCTTCACTTCCTCACTGAGCAGAAATTATTGAGTGAAAATCAACAAAAATAGGTTATCAAATTGTTGGGGTTAGACTTCATCATTCAGTATAAACCAGGCGCTCAGAACAAGGCAACAGATGCCCTTTCTCGGATTCCAGACACGGGAGAACTTCATGCTATTTCCATGGGTTACTTTTCGAGACTGGACGGTTTGGAAGATGCCATTCAGGGTGATGATAAGTTACGTGGAATAATGCAGTAGCTCCTAATAGACCCCAATAGTCATTCTCCTTTTAGATTACTGGGCCGCCACCTACTGTACCATAACAAATTGGTACTGCCTAAATCTGGACCTCACATCCAGAAAATTTTACAAGAATTTCATGCATCGCCCATCGAGGGCCATTCGGGATTCTTTCGAACATATAAGCGACTAACAAACGTGGTATTTTGGGAAGGAATGAAGCATGATATCAAAGAATTTGTGGCCGCTTACCCTGTTTGCCAACAAAATAAATATGACGGCATGAGTCCTGCGAGTTTGCGTCAGCCACTGCCGATTCCTAACCAAGTGTGGGAAGATGTATCTATGGATTTCATCATGGGGCTTCCGAAAGCAAATGGGGTTGATACAATTTTGGTCGTAGTGGATCGTTTGACTAAATACAGTCATTTTTTAACCCTCAAACATCCCTACACAGCCAAGGTGGTCGCTGACTTGTTTATCAAAGAGGTGGTTCGCCTGCATTGGTTTCCCCATACCATTGTCTCAGATCGGGATAGGGTCTTCATGAGCAACTTTTGGAGCAAACTGTTTAAACAATCAGGGACCTAATTACACAGGACTTCTGCATACCACCCACAGACAAATGGTCAGACAGAGGTAGTAAACCATTGTTTGGAGACATACCTCAGATGTTTAGTCAATGGCCAACCTCGGTCATGGTAACGCCCCACTTGAGGTACGCACTTAAGATTTGCTGTTTTGCTTAAATGTTTATTGATCCAGCTTTAATTGAGTTTGTATATTGAGTTGGTTGAGTGTTTGCCTTGAAATTGGTTGAGATTTGAGGAATTTCAGATTTGCAGTCTTCGCCGCGGCGACATTGGCCTTGAGTAAGGCGGTGTAGGCTTTGTATTTCTTCGCCGGGGCGACGGAAGTTTCTTCGCCGCAGCGACGAGCCGACTAAAATGTGTATTGAGATTTCTAGATATTTTTTCCATAAGGGTTAAATGACCATTCTACCCCTAATTAGTAGGAAAAGTGTGGAGTAAAATGTAAGGAAATTTCATGGAGAATATGTTAGTATGGGGGTGTGATTGTAATGAATCAAAGGATATAGGTAGAATTTCCAAGAAAGAGCAAGGGCATTATGGGAATGAATGAGGATATTTTGAGTTAAAAAGGGTTGAAGCTTAGTGAACCCTTCATTCATTCTTCTTCCACCGCCTCCTTCATTCTCCATTCCTCTCAAGTTTTTCTTTAATCTTTCAAGGATTCAAGAGGGCTTTTTGAGTAGTTTGAAGTGGGAAGTTATTCTAAAACATCCTAAGGTAAGGATTCTTGCTTTAGATGTTAATTTTACCTTTATATGAAGTGAAGTCTTATAGCATGGTTGGTAAAAATTGTAGAGAATAGGCATGTTATCAAAGGTAAAGAGAAGTGCTAGTGGAATCACTCCAACACAAGTAAGTAAAATCCAACTCAAGCTAAAGTTTAAGAAATCATTTGAGTAGAGATTTCTTTATGTTTGTATGTATTAAGCTTGTTGAGAAATTGAGTTGAGATGTTATGAGTATTTATCCATGGTGTGATTGATTACACTTCATTTAAGAGAAGTGTTAAAATGTGATGAGAGGATGTAGTTTGAGATGGAGTTTGGAAGGTTTGAGTGAACCTTTTTAGAAGTGTTTTTCCTTGATAGGAATTGTAGCTTTGTGAGGGAGTTTCTCCCATTTTGGATGGTTAGAGAAAGAAATAGAGCTATTGTTATAGTAGAGTTTGTATATGCACTTGAGTTGTTTGATGAAATGCCTAAGAGAAGCATAAGAATGAGTTATGAACCTTAATTAATTCAACATTGCATATTGGCATTTCCTAAGTGCATTAATGAGCATGAACCATCCATATGCATTAATTGTGCATTGAGAAAGAACTTGAGAAAAAGTTGAGAAAGAGTAGTGAATTACTCTAAAAGTTAAGCTACACTATGATGAGTAGTTAGAGAAAGAGTAGAGACCTTGTGCACAAGCTACCCTAAGAGGTAGAGAAGAGAATAGAGTAAGTTGTGCGACGGGAAACCCGTGAGTGATGAGTAAAGTCACGAGAGTGGGTGCTTTGTGATCCCCAGCCGTGCCTCCGATCAAAAGAGGCCATGACCGTCACGAAGAGTGGAACGTGAGGTTCCAGCCATGCCATTGGTGCAGAAGTGGTCGTGACATTTAGAGAGAGAGAGAGAATACATTCACATGGCCAAGGGTTCCGAATCCATGCATGACCAAATCCGATCGGTAAAGAAAATGAGTAAGTCACGAAGAGTGGGTGCTTTGTGATTCCCCAGCCGTGCCTCTGGTCAGAAGAGGTCGTGACATACATCAGAGAACTTATAGAGAAGAGTATGAGTAACAGAAACAGAAACAGAAAGAAAACAGAGATGAGAAAAGGTCACGAGTAGTGGGAGCTTTGTGATCTTCCGGCCGTGTCTCCGGTAAGACGGGGCCGTGACATATGAGTGAGTAAAAGTCACGCAGAGCGGGCTTGAGTTCCCGACCGTGCCTCCGGTGAGATGAGGCCGTGACATTCAAATGAGAAAGAACAAACAGAGAAAAGTATAAGTCACGAAGAGTGGAGCGAGTTCCAACCGTGCCTCCAGTAAGATGAGGCCGTGACATTTAAGAAACAGTTGATAGAAAAAGAGCTATGTGGAAGAGAAACAGAGAGAACGAGAGAATATTGTAAGGAAAAGAATTAAGAGAAAGAGTTACGGAGATAAATTAGTAGAGGATTTACTTACTGAGCTTTTTTGTGCTCACCCTGTCATTTTCCTTTGTGGTTGCAGGTTCTAGGTGAGGATGCAGTCGGATGGGCGTCGGCAAGCGAAGAGAAATAGTTACACTGTCCACCCTGTTTTTGAGAGCTTTTGTATATATAATACTTTATATTTGTGTAAAGTATATGTATATTTAATAAAAGAAAAATTTGAGCCCATCTATTTATATTATAATACATGTATTTTATTATATGTATTTTCTGAGTATATGAGTAGAAAGCAGCTGTTACAGTCATGGCCAAAATGGGTTCCATGGGCAGAATTCTGGTTCAACACTACTTATAATCGCTCCACAGGAATGTGTCCCTTTAAGGCCCTCTATGGCTGTGATGCCCCAACAGTGTTGCGTTATTCAGACCACACTTCCTTGGTCGACGAAGTTGACCAGCAATTCTAGTAGTGCAACCGTGTTCTTGAAGAGTTAAAAGACCATCTTTTCAAGGCCCAACACCGCATGAAGACTTTTGCGGACAACCATCGCCGAGAAGTTACATTTGAGGTAGGAGAATCTGTATATTTAAAGTTACAGCCATAAAGATTAAGGTCCCTAGCCCGTCGATATAATGAGAAGCTCAATCCACGGTTTTATGGTCCATTTGTCATCCCGGACAAAATTGGGGCAGTCGCATATAGGCTGGCACTACCATCTTCAGCACGAATTCATGATGTTTTTCATGTTTCGCAACTGAAAAAAGCTACTTTTCCTATCCCCAATAGTCA